ACTTGCAATACTGGTCAAAGCAAACACAGAAAACAATTCATATTTATTAAGCATAGTATTTTACACCATTCTTTTACAAACAGTCAATATGCAACTTTATATACCAAATATACATTGGCCGCAGTATGGGCTGTAGTATAAATTTTCCTCTATCTTTACAAGTTCAACATTTATGAATGTTGTATTGAAACTGGAACTTGAAAATTGGATACATTACATGATTATTACAAAAAAAGAGGGAAAAGCTACTAAAAAGTCCCTTATAGGGGTAAATTCAGTAAATAAATATACGTCATCAGGGACCGCCCCATTTGGGGGAGAGCTTTCTGTATTAAACTGAAGTCATGTGCTCTTCTGATTGGTAGATAATGTTTGTAATAAATATTTTTTGATAGATGGATAAAAACTAGAGTTGAAAAAAAATAAAAAATAAATGCTGAATGTACTAATTTTTTTTACTACAGGGTTGAAGAGTAATGGGGGTCAGTGAAGGAATTAAGTGCGAATCTACAGTGTTTGTAAACAAGGCCATGTGAATGCCCAAAAATGCCGCATGACCCTATGTTTTTATTGTTGCAAATGATAGGGCTACATTTGTACTTTCATGAATGATATATGAAATTTTCTAATTTCTAAAGGTAAATCAGGTATAAATTTAATTCAAGACATAGATTAGCATTACAGTCAATGGGAGATTTTTTACTGAATTTACCCCTATAGGAAAATATGCATTCTGTCACTGTATTTGTCCAAGGCCACACAATAATCACAAAACTTATTTCCTGTGTATATTAATGTAATGGAAGCATTTTGGAACCATTTGAAGTTGTTTTTTACACAAATTTCTATGTTTAACTCGGCTATCCAAGATGCACTGAGTGTACTGTGAGAGGAAGCATGGGGTATATGGTAAAAATCAGTTTTTGTGTCCAGATTGAAAGAAACAATAGAAATTACACTTGAGAGTTATGATATCAATGAAAGGCATAAATATTCTCCCCATTTTGCACATATTTCTCCTCATTATGTGTAAAATCATATGGAAAATCAGAATTACCTCCCTTTGACAGTGTATTTTTTTTTAGCTGTGTTTCACCATGTTAAGTTGTAGAACAAGTTGTAAATAAGCACTTTTCAAGTATTTTAACACTTGAATAATCTGACCGCATGAAGATATTCATTTATTTTTACATAACGCATTGCGTTTCTTTATTTAAAAAAAATTGTAGATAACTTTTTATGATTACATGCCCTTCATCTATGAAACTAGTGTTGAAATGTTTGTAATTGGATTACTATGTTAAATAATTGCTTTTGAATATTCTAAATTTTTACTTTAATCTTCCAAATGCAAAGTTTGGTCATACCCAGTCTTATTTTTTCATATTTGGCACTTTTTTCTACTTCAGTTTTGTCTGTCTAGTTTTGGCGAAGAAACCATCCTGATGTTGGGGTAACAGGAATTTCTGCAGAGTGATTGTCAATGACATTTTGTGAACTTTACAAGTAATTAAAACACAAATTTAGTAAAATGAAACATAATTGTTGGTTTTTTTTGTATGAAACTGCTTACAAAAGCCTTTGAAAAGTGTTTTTGTGGTCTTTTCAGGGTATTTAATCAAAAACTTCCATATAAGGCAAAATTTAACTAAGAGTGCAGCAAGACTTTAGTTTCTAGATGTACTTGCAATACTGGTCAAAGCAAACACAGAAAACAATTCATATTTATTAAGCATAGTATTTTACACCATTCTTTTACAAACAGTCAATATGCAACTTTATATACCAAATATACATTGGCCGCAGTATGGGCTGTAGTATAAATTTTCCTCTATCTTTACAAGTTCAACATTTATGAATGTTGTATTGAAACTGGAACTTGAAAATTGGATACATTACATGATTATTACAAAAAAAGAGGGAAAAGCTACTAAAAAGTCCCTTATAGGGGTAAATTCAGTAAATAAATATACGTCATCAGGGACCGCCCATTTGGGGGAGAGCTTTCTGTATTAAACTGAAGTCATGTGCTCTTCTGATTGGTAGATAATGTTTGTAATAAATATTTTTTGATAGATGGATAAAAACTAGAGTTGAAAAAAAATAAAAAATAAATGCTGAATGTACTAATTTTTTTTACTACAGGGTTGAAGAGTAATGGGGGTCAGTGAAGGAATTAAGTGCGAATCTACAGTGTTTGTAAACAAGGCCATGTGAATGCCCAAAAATGCCGCATGACCCTATGTTTTTATTGTTGCAAATGATAGGGCTACATTTGTACTTTCATGAATGATATATGAAATTTTCTAATTTCTAAAGGTAAATCAGGTATAAATTTAATTCAAGACATAGATTAGCATTACAGTCAATGGGAGATTTTTTACTGAATTTACCCCTATAGGAAAATATGCATTCTGTCACTGTATTTGTCCAAGGCCACACAATAATCACAAAACTTATTTCCTGTGTATATTAATGTAATGGAAGCATTTTGGAACCATTTGAAGTTGTTTTTTACACAAATTTCTATGTTTAACTCGGCTATCCAAGATGCACTGAGTGTACTGTGAGAGGAAGCATGGGGTATATGGTAAAAATCAGTTTTTGTGTCCAGATTGAAAGAAACAATAGAAATTACACTTGAGAGTTATGATATCAATGAAAGGCATAAATATTCTCCCCATTTTGCACATATTTCTCCTCATTATGTGTAAAATCATATGGAAAATCAGAATTACCTCCCTTTGACAGTGTATTTTTTTTTAGCTGTGTTTCACCATGTTAAGTTGTAGAACAAGTTGTAAATAAGCACTTTTCAAGTATTTTAACACTTGAATAATCTGACCGCATGAAGATATTCATTTATTTTTACATAACGCATTGCGTTTCTTTATTTAAAAAAAATTGTAGATAACTTTTTATGATTACATGCCCTTCATCTATGAAACTAGTGTTGAAATGTTTGTAATTGGATTACTATGTTAAATAATTGCTTTTGAATATTCTAAATTTTTACTTTAATCTTCCAAATGCAAAGTTTGGTCATACCCAGTCTTATTTTTTCATATTTGGCACTTTTTTCTACTTCAGTTTTGTCTGTCTAGTTTTGGCGAAGAAACCATCCTGATGTTGGGGTAACAGGAATTTCTGCAGAGTGATTGTCAATGACATTTTGTGAACTTTACAAGTAATTAAAACACAAATTTAGTAAAATGAAACATAATTGTTGGTTTTTTTTGTATGAAACTGCTTACAAAAGCCTTTGAAAAGTGTTTTTGTGGTCTTTTCAGGGTATTTAATCAAAAACTTCCATATAAGGCAAAATTTAACTAAGAGTGCAGCAAGACTTTAGTTTCTAGATGTACTTGCAATACTGGTCAAAGCAAACACAGAAAACAATTCATATTTATTAAGCATAGTATTTTACACCATTCTTTTACAAACAGTCAATATGCAACTTTATATACCAAATATACATTGGCCGCAGTATGGGCTGTAGTATAAATTTTCCTCTATCTTTACAAGTTCAACATTTATGAATGTTGTATTGAAACTGGAACTTGAAAATTGGATACATTACATGATTATTACAAAAAAAGAGGGAAAAGCTACTAAAAAGTCCCTTATAGGGGTAAATTCAGTAAATAAATATACGTCATCAGGGACCGCCCATTTGGGGGAGAGCTTTCTGTATTAAACTGAAGTCATGTGCTCTTCTGATTGGTAGATAATGTTTGTAATAAATATTTTTTGATAGATGGATAAAAACTAGAGTTGAAAAAAAATAAAAAATAAATGCTGAATGTACTAATTTTTTTTACTACAGGGTTGAAGAGTAATGGGGGTCAGTGAAGGAATTAAGTGCGAATCTACAGTGTTTGTAAACAAGGCCATGTGAATGCCCAAAAATGCCGCATGACCCTATGTTTTTATTGTTGCAAATGATAGGGCTACATTTGTACTTTCATGAATGATATATGAAATTTTCTAATTTCTAAAGGTAAATCAGGTATAAATTTAATTCAAGACATAGATTAGCATTACAGTCAATGGGAGATTTTTTACTGAATTTACCCCTATAGGAAAATATGCATTCTGTCACTGTATTTGTCCAAGGCCACACAATAATCACAAAACTTATTTCCTGTGTATATTAATGTAATGGAAGCATTTTGGAACCATTTGAAGTTGTTTTTTACACAAATTTCTATGTTTAACTCGGCTATCCAAGATGCACTGAGTGTACTGTGAGAGGAAGCATGGGGTATATGGTAAAAATCAGTTTTTGTGTCCAGATTGAAAGAAACAATAGAAATTACACTTGAGAGTTATGATATCAATGAAAGGCATAAATATTCTCCCCATTTTGCACATATTTCTCCTCATTATGTGTAAAATCATATGGAAAATCAGAATTACCTCCCTTTGACAGTGTATTTTTTTTTAGCTGTGTTTCACCATGTTAAGTTGTAGAACAAGTTGTAAATAAGCACTTTTCAAGTATTTTAACACTTGAATAATCTGACCGCATGAAGATATTCATTTATTTTTACATAACGCATTGCGTTTCTTTATTTAAAAAAAATTGTAGATAACTTTTTATGATTACATGCCCTTCATCTATGAAACTAGTGTTGAAATGTTTGTAATTGGATTACTATGTTAAATAATTGCTTTTGAATATTCTAAATTTTTACTTTAATCTTCCAAATGCAAAGTTTGGTCATACCCAGTCTTATTTTTTCATATTTGGCACTTTTTTCTACTTCAGTTTTGTCTGTCTAGTTTTGGCGAAGAAACCATCCTGATGTTGGGGTAACAGGAATTTCTGCAGAGTGATTGTCAATGACATTTTGTGAACTTTACAAGTAATTAAAACACAAATTTAGTAAAATGAAACATAATTGTTGGTTTTTTTTGTATGAAACTGCTTACAAAAGCCTTTGAAAAGTGTTTTTGTGGTCTTTTCAGGGTATTTAATCAAAAACTTCCATATAAGGCAAAATTTAACTAAGAGTGCAGCAAGACTTTAGTTTCTAGATGTACTTGCAATACTGGTCAAAGCAAACACAGAAAACAATTCATATTTATTAAGCATAGTATTTTACACCATTCTTTTACAAACAGTCAATATGCAACTTTATATACCAAATATACATTGGCCGCAGTATGGGCTGTAGTATAAATTTTCCTCTATCTTTACAAGTTCAACATTTATGAATGTTGTATTGAAACTGGAACTTGAAAATTGGATACATTACATGATTATTACAAAAAAAGAGGGAAAAGCTACTAAAAAGTCCCTTATAGGGGTAAATTCAGTAAATAAATATACGTCATCAGGGACCGCCCATTTGGGGGAGAGCTTTCTGTATTAAACTGAAGTCATGTGCTCTTCTGATTGGTAGATAATGTTTGTAATAAATATTTTTTGATAGATGGATAAAAACTAGAGTTGAAAAAAAATAAAAAATAAATGCTGAATGTACTAATTTTTTTTACTACAGGGTTGAAGAGTAATGGGGGTCAGTGAAGGAATTAAGTGCGAATCTACAGTGTTTGTAAACAAGGCCATGTGAATGCCCAAAAATGCCGCATGACCCTATGTTTTTATTGTTGCAAATGATAGGGCTACATTTGTACTTTCATGAATGATATATGAAATTTTCTAATTTCTAAAGGTAAATCAGGTATAAATTTAATTCAAGACATAGATTAGCATTACAGTCAATGGGAGATTTTTTACTGAATTTACCCCTATAGGAAAATATGCATTCTGTCACTGTATTTGTCCAAGGCCACACAATAATCACAAAACTTATTTCCTGTGTATATTAATGTAATGGAAGCATTTTGGAACCATTTGAAGTTGTTTTTTACACAAATTTCTATGTTTAACTCGGCTATCCAAGATGCACTGAGTGTACTGTGAGAGGAAGCATGGGGTATATGGTAAAAATCAGTTTTTGTGTCCAGATTGAAAGAAACAATAGAAATTACACTTGAGAGTTATGATATCAATGAAAGGCATAAATATTCTCCCCATTTTGCACATATTTCTCCTCATTATGTGTAAAATCATATGGAAAATCAGAATTACCTCCCTTTGACAGTGTATTTTTTTTTAGCTGTGTTTCACCATGTTAAGTTGTAGAACAAGTTGTAAATAAGCACTTTTCAAGTATTTTAACACTTGAATAATCTGACCGCATGAAGATATTCATTTATTTTTACATAACGCATTGCGTTTCTTTATTTAAAAAAAATTGTAGATAACTTTTTATGATTACATGCCCTTCATCTATGAAACTAGTGTTGAAATGTTTGTAATTGGATTACTATGTTAAATAATTGCTTTTGAATATTCTAAATTTTTACTTTAATCTTCCAAATGCAAAGTTTGGTCATACCCAGTCTTATTTTTTCATATTTGGCACTTTTTTCTACTTCAGTTTTGTCTGTCTAGTTTTGGCGAAGAAACCATCCTGATGTTGGGGTAACAGGAATTTCTGCAGAGTGATTGTCAATGACATTTTGTGAACTTTACAAGTAATTAAAACACAAATTTAGTAAAATGAAACATAATTGTTGGTTTTTTTTGTATGAAACTGCTTACAAAAGCCTTTGAAAAGTGTTTTTGTGGTCTTTTCAGGGTATTTAATCAAAAACTTCCATATAAGGCAAAATTTAACTAAGAGTGCAGCAAGACTTTAGTTTCTAGATGTACTTGCAATACTGGTCAAAGCAAACACAGAAAACAATTCATATTTATTAAGCATAGTATTTTACACCATTCTTTTACAAACAGTCAATATGCAACTTTATATACCAAATATACATTGGCCGCAGTATGGGCTGTAGTATAAATTTTCCTCTATCTTTACAAGTTCAACATTTATGAATGTTGTATTGAAACTGGAACTTGAAAATTGGATACATTACATGATTATTACAAAAAAAGAGGGAAAAGCTACTAAAAAGTCCCTTATAGGGGTAAATTCAGTAAATAAATATACGTCATCAGGGACCGCCCATTTGGGGGAGAGCTTTCTGTATTAAACTGAAGTCATGTGCTCTTCTGATTGGTAGATAATGTTTGTAATAAATATTTTTTGATAGATGGATAAAAACTAGAGTTGAAAAAAAATAAAAAATAAATGCTGAATGTACTAATTTTTTTTACTACAGGGTTGAAGAGTAATGGGGGTCAGTGAAGGAATTAAGTGCGAATCTACAGTGTTTGTAAACAAGGCCATGTGAATGCCCAAAAATGCCGCATGACCCTATGTTTTTATTGTTGCAAATGATAGGGCTACATTTGTACTTTCATGAATGATATATGAAATTTTCTAATTTCTAAAGGTAAATCAGGTATAAATTTAATTCAAGACATAGATTAGCATTACAGTCAATGGGAGATTTTTTACTGAATTTACCCCTATAGGAAAATATGCATTCTGTCACTGTATTTGTCCAAGGCCACACAATAATCACAAAACTTATTTCCTGTGTATATTAATGTAATGGAAGCATTTTGGAACCATTTGAAGTTGTTTTTTACACAAATTTCTATGTTTAACTCGGCTATCCAAGATGCACTGAGTGTACTGTGAGAGGAAGCATGGGGTATATGGTAAAAATCAGTTTTTGTGTCCAGATTGAAAGAAACAATAGAAATTACACTTGAGAGTTATGATATCAATGAAAGGCATAAATATTCTCCCCATTTTGCACATATTTCTCCTCATTATGTGTAAAATCATATGGAAAATCAGAATTACCTCCCTTTGACAGTGTATTTTTTTTTAGCTGTGTTTCACCATGTTAAGTTGTAGAACAAGTTGTAAATAAGCACTTTTCAAGTATTTTAACACTTGAATAATCTGACCGCATGAAGATATTCATTTATTTTTACATAACGCATTGCGTTTCTTTATTTAAAAAAAATTGTAGATAACTTTTTATGATTACATGCCCTTCATCTATGAAACTAGTGTTGAAATGTTTGTAATTGGATTACTATGTTAAATAATTGCTTTTGAATATTCTAAATTTTTACTTTAATCTTCCAAATGCAAAGTTTGGTCATACCCAGTCTTATTTTTTCATATTTGGCACTTTTTTCTACTTCAGTTTTGTCTGTCTAGTTTTGGCGAAGAAACCATCCTGATGTTGGGGTAACAGGAATTTCTGCAGAGTGATTGTCAATGACATTTTGTGAACTTTACAAGTAATTAAAACACAAATTTAGTAAAATGAAACATAATTGTTGGTTTTTTTTGTATGAAACTGCTTACAAAAGCCTTTGAAAAGTGTTTTTGTGGTCTTTTCAGGGTATTTAATCAAAAACTTCCATATAAGGCAAAATTTAACTAAGAGTGCAGCAAGACTTTAGTTTCTAGATGTACTTGCAATACTGGTCAAAGCAAACACAGAAAACAATTCATATTTATTAAGCATAGTATTTTACACCATTCTTTTACAAACAGTCAATATGCAACTTTATATACCAAATATACATTGGCCGCAGTATGGGCTGTAGTATAAATTTTCCTCTATCTTTACAAGTTCAACATTTATGAATGTTGTATTGAAACTGGAACTTGAAAATTGGATACATTACATGATTATTACAAAAAAAGAGGGAAAAGCTACTAAAAAGTCCCTTATAGGGGTAAATTCAGTAAATAAATATACGTCATCAGGGACCGCCCATTTGGGGGAGAGCTTTCTGTATTAAACTGAAGTCATGTGCTCTTCTGATTGGTAGATAATGTTTGTAATAAATATTTTTTGATAGATGGATAAAAACTAGAGTTGAAAAAAAATAAAAAATAAATGCTGAATGTACTAATTTTTTTTACTACAGGGTTGAAGAGTAATGGGGGTCAGTGAAGGAATTAAGTGCGAATCTACAGTGTTTGTAAACAAGGCCATGTGAATGCCCAAAAATGCCGCATGACCCTATGTTTTTATTGTTGCAAATGATAGGGCTACATTTGTACTTTCATGAATGATATATGAAATTTTCTAATTTCTAAAGGTAAATCAGGTATAAATTTAATTCAAGACATAGATTAGCATTACAGTCAATGGGAGATTTTTTACTGAATTTACCCCTATAGGAAAATATGCATTCTGTCACTGTATTTGTCCAAGGCCACACAATAATCACAAAACTTATTTCCTGTGTATATTAATGTAATGGAAGCATTTTGGAACCATTTGAAGTTGTTTTTTACACAAATTTCTATGTTTAACTCGGCTATCCAAGATGCACTGAGTGTACTGTGAGAGGAAGCATGGGGTATATGGTAAAAATCAGTTTTTGTGTCCAGATTGAAAGAAACAATAGAAATTACACTTGAGAGTTATGATATCAATGAAAGGCATAAATATTCTCCCCATTTTGCACATATTTCTCCTCATTATGTGTAAAATCATATGGAAAATCAGAATTACCTCCCTTTGACAGTGTATTTTTTTTTAGCTGTGTTTCACCATGTTAAGTTGTAGAACAAGTTGTAAATAAGCACTTTTCAAGTATTTTAACACTTGAATAATCTGACCGCATGAAGATATTCATTTATTTTTACATAACGCATTGCGTTTCTTTATTTAAAAAAAATTGTAGATAACTTTTTATGATTACATGCCCTTCATCTATGAAACTAGTGTTGAAATGTTTGTAATTGGATTACTATGTTAAATAATTGCTTTTGAATATTCTAAATTTTTACTTTAATCTTCCAAATGCAAAGTTTGGTCATACCCAGTCTTATTTTTTCATATTTGGCACTTTTTTCTACTTCAGTTTTGTCTGTCTAGTTTTGGCGAAGAAACCATCCTGATGTTGGGGTAACAGGAATTTCTGCAGAGTGATTGTCAATGACATTTTGTGAACTTTACAAGTAATTAAAACACAAATTTAGTAAAATGAAACATAATTGTTGGTTTTTTTTGTATGAAACTGCTTACAAAAGCCTTTGAAAAGTGTTTTTGTGGTCTTTTCAGGGTATTTAATCAAAAACTTCCATATAAGGCAAAATTTAACTAAGAGTGCAGCAAGACTTTAGTTTCTAGATGTACTTGCAATACTGGTCAAAGCAAACACAGAAAACAATTCATATTTATTAAGCATAGTATTTTACACCATTCTTTTACAAACAGTCAATATGCAACTTTATATACCAAATATACATTGGCCGCAGTATGGGCTGTAGTATAAATTTTCCTCTATCTTTACAAGTTCAACATTTATGAATGTTGTATTGAAACTGGAACTTGAAAATTGGATACATTACATGATTATTACAAAAAAAGAGGGAAAAGCTACTAAAAAGTCCCTTATAGGGGTAAATTCAGTAAATAAATATACGTCATCAGGGACCGCCCATTTGGGGGAGAGCTTTCTGTATTAAACTGAAGTCATGTGCTCTTCTGATTGGTAGATAATGTTTGTAATAAATATTTTTTGATAGATGGATAAAAACTAGAGTTGAAAAAAAATAAAAAATAAATGCTGAATGTACTAATTTTTTTTACTACAGGGTTGAAGAGTAATGGGGGTCAGTGAAGGAATTAAGTGCGAATCTACAGTGTTTGTAAACAAGGCCATGTGAATGCCCAAAAATGCCGCATGACCCTATGTTTTTATTGTTGCAAATGATAGGGCTACATTTGTACTTTCATGAATGATATATGAAATTTTCTAATTTCTAAAGGTAAATCAGGTATAAATTTAATTCAAGACATAGATTAGCATTACAGTCAATGGGAGATTTTTTACTGAATTTACCCCTATAGGAAAATATGCATTCTGTCACTGTATTTGTCCAAGGCCACACAATAATCACAAAACTTATTTCCTGTGTATATTAATGTAATGGAAGCATTTTGGAACCATTTGAAGTTGTTTTTTACACAAATTTCTATGTTTAACTCGGCTATCCAAGATGCACTGAGTGTACTGTGAGAGGAAGCATGGGGTATATGGTAAAAATCAGTTTTTGTGTCCAGATTGAAAGAAACAATAGAAATTACACTTGAGAGTTATGATATCAATGAAAGGCATAAATATTCTCCCCATTTTGCACATATTTCTCCTCATTATGTGTAAAATCATATGGAAAATCAGAATTACCTCCCTTTGACAGTGTATTTTTTTTTAGCTGTGTTTCACCATGTTAAGTTGTAGAACAAGTTGTAAATAAGCACTTTTCAAGTATTTTAACACTTGAATAATCTGACCGCATGAAGATATTCATTTATTTTTACATAACGCATTGCGTTTCTTTATTTAAAAAAAATTGTAGATAACTTTTTATGATTACATGCCCTTCATCTATGAAACTAGTGTTGAAATGTTTGTAATTGGATTACTATGTTAAATAATTGCTTTTGAATATTCTAAATTTTTACTTTAATCTTCCAAATGCAAAGTTTGGTCATACCCAGTCTTATTTTTTCATATTTGGCACTTTTTTCTACTTCAGTTTTGTCTGTCTAGTTTTGGCGAAGAAACCATCCTGATGTTGGGGTAACAGGAATTTCTGCAGAGTGATTGTCAATGACATTTTGTGAACTTTACAAGTAATTAAAACACAAATTTAGTAAAATGAAACATAATTGTTGGTTTTTTTTGTATGAAACTGCTTACAAAAGCCTTTGAAAAGTGTTTTTGTGGTCTTTTCAGGGTATTTAATCAAAAACTTCCATATAAGGCAAAATTTAACTAAGAGTGCAGCAAGACTTTAGTTTCTAGATGTACTTGCAATACTGGTCAAAGCAAACACAGAAAACAATTCATATTTATTAAGCATAGTATTTTACACCATTCTTTTACAAACAGTCAATATGCAACTTTATATACCAAATATACATTGGCCGCAGTATGGGCTGTAGTATAAATTTTCCTCTATCTTTACAAGTTCAACATTTATGAATGTTGTATTGAAACTGGAACTTGAAAATTGGATACATTACATGATTATTACAAAAAAAGAGGGAAAAGCTACTAAAAAGTCCCTTATAGGGGTAAATTCAGTAAATAAATATACGTCATCAGGGACCGCCCATTTGGGGGAGAGCTTTCTGTATTAAACTGAAGTCATGTGCTCTTCTGATTGGTAGATAATGTTTGTAATAAATATTTTTTGATAGATGGATAAAAACTAGAGTTGAAAAAAAATAAAAAATAAATGCTGAATGTACTAATTTTTTTTACTACAGGGTTGAAGAGTAATGGGGGTCAGTGAAGGAATTAAGTGCGAATCTACAGTGTTTGTAAACAAGGCCATGTGAATGCCCAAAAATGCCGCATGACCCTATGTTTTTATTGTTGCAAATGATAGGGCTACATTTGTACTTTCATGAATGATATATGAAATTTTCTAATTTCTAAAGGTAAATCAGGTATAAATTTAATTCAAGACATAGATTAGCATTACAGTCAATGGGAGATTTTTTACTGAATTTACCCCTACAGTACTGTAAATAATGTTAATTTTAGCGAAACGAAACAGCGTGTGTGTATTTATTTGAATTGATTAATGTGTTTTTAATTAAACCGTGTAATTAATGAAAATACCATATGCGATTAACAGGATCGATTTATCTTCATTTCCAGAATTAAAACTTAATTTAGTAGTCTTTAATAGCATTATATTTTGGGAGAATTCCAAAGGATTTAAATTTTTTTGATCAAATCGTTTGTTTGGTGTAAAGATCCTTCTATAGTATTCGTTAACTTTTTAAATTTACAAACGATGATGAACTTTGTGAAAACACCGGGAGTATACATGTACTAACATTAAATGTTGTATTTCGTCAATCGATAATAATTCCATCTGCGTTTTATATTTGCCCTAACAGCGGGACAACATTATTGAATACGTGACAGTGTTCGTCACATAGCATCGACATGTAGGTAAAAGTACAAAGCCAGGCTTGGGAAAGTGCACTTCAATTTTGGGATGAATGAAATTACTTTAATTTGACTTATAATCCTTAATTTATCATACATGCGAATTTTGACGTTGGCTATCGATCAATCCATTTTTACAATTTCATTTCATCAGTTCTATTGGGGCGGGGCGGATCGGTTTGGGATCAAATTAAACAAATTAAGGTTAAGCTAGGAATTTGAAAATGTGAACAGGCGTACGGATAGACGGACGGGCACTACATACAACACTCACTTAAAATTGAATTGGTGTTCGTTTGACGGATATCCTTGCACTTTTAAGTTTGGTATGCTTTAACAGACTCGTGAATTCTATCTACGCACTTATTACTTTTGCCAAAATCTATGTTTACAATTATCTTTTTATGCCATGCAAATGATAATAAACTTAAATATTTATACATCACAAAGAATATAAAAACCACTCTCGTCAGTTATCAACAACATTACCATAAACAGGATATTTACAAATAATTTTATTTTTTCTACATTTACAAAATAATATAGATTAATGGCTCTCATACCCTTTCCTTTTCACGTTTCTACAAGAGAAATCTGAATTTTTAATTCGTAAAAGGCAAGATAAAAGTTCAAGGACTCCGAAAGTCTTTCAACTAAAGGATTACTTTCCGAAAGTGAAAAAAGATAATATTCCATTGTGATTGGCTTATTCCATGTTAGTGACTTGACAGTTGATTTGTCATTAAAACTCTTCCGTGTCTTACATGAAACGTTTTTGAGGGATTGTGTGTTTGCTTTTCTTGATAGCCTAAGTTGGAGTTTACTTTTTAACTTCCTCATTTTTCATTTGTTTTTGGTTATATGAGTCAATCAAGCAATTGTTATTTAGTATGCTTTACACTTTGTTTGAACAAAACAATCAAAGTTCATTATTTTATAATACATCCGCGCGTGCAATTTTATAAGCCAATGAATGCTTATTATTTTGATAATACATCCGCGCGTGCAATTTTACAAACCAATCAAAGTTCATTAATTGATAGTAGATTTTTGTTGGCTAGAATAGAGCACATGTTATTCAAGTGCTCGGACCATATAAACCTCGTTCAGGTGTACAATCAGAACAAAACTACTAATTCTGCGATGATCACAACTCACTTTAGAATAAAGAGCAGGCATGTTGGTTCGGAGTGACAGTGATGTGTTAAAGAAGCTTCCTGGATCAGACAAGTTCTTTGTGATCTGCTGCTGTCATCCTGTCAAACTAGTGCAACGTGCTATCATCCTGAACATGTATGTAATATTTGCCGCTGAACGTGCATGTAATAATCTCGGCTGTAATACTTGCCGTTGAACATGCATGTAATATTTGCGACTGAAAAAGCATGCAAATATACCGTTGACCATACCTATAATGTTTGCCGCTGAAAATGAATGTAATATTTGCCTTTGACAATGCATGTAATAAATATATTTGCCCAGATGACTGAAATACATTTTTAGCATCTTGAATAGACACTACTTATCTAAAGGTCGTTTGTTGACCTTTAGATGTATATTTGCCTTTTTTTTATGTTTGAGGGTTGCTATCTGATTGGTGTACTAGAAATGCCATTGTATTCATCTGCATCATCTAAACGTATAACATTACCCTATTATTAATAGAAGAAACATGTTTGTGTATTGAACTAGTACGTCAAAAGGGGCCCCCGTCAACAATAGTCTGAAGTATAATGATAGAGCGGTAGGCATTAAATAAACTATTTTCATATTACCGACTTTTGACTTGGAGTTTATATTTTTCCGACAGGTTACCTTCCCTTTGGTAGGACATCCTTGTACTCGGTCAAGCAAGAGCAACGTACAAAGGTAAAATCAAGCTTTCAATCGGTACACTTTTTGGGGGATATTAACTGTATTATGTTTTCATTTTAAGACAAAATAATCGGAAAACAGTAAACTTTCCCCCCAAATTGCACA